TTATTAAGTCCTTTATTACAACACTGTATTTACCTTACTTTGATTATTTATATATGATTTAACAGTGTTAACGACTATCTTAATTTATATTATATATATATATATATATATATATATATATCGATTTTTAGTTATTAATATGTGGTTAAACAGTAAAATGAGAACTATAAAATGGTAAAAGAATCATTTAAGTCCGACATTTCTTTAATAACTTACAGGAGCTTTATACAAAGCTGTTTGAAAACCAGTATTTGAGAAATCAGCCTTCAAACATTCAGATTTCGGGCATTTCTTAGGCAGAAACCATCACCAAATCATTAAAAATTGTTGTTAGCATTCAAAATTATGAAAATAACAGCATAGCATAATACAGTATGTATTAATACATAAAGGTAATAGTTTAGTACAATAAAATAGATTTCCAAAATGTTGACATTCGAGCATGTTTTGGCCATTATCTCCAAAACAGGATTTGCGACGAGTGACTGATTTGGCTTGTCTTTGCCACATATGTCTGCACTCAGTGCAAGAGACATTACAAGCGTAATTTTGTTATTGAAGGCTCACTATCCTAAAATCGGCATACTGTGTCACTATGTTAAATTAAACTGATACTCTTACTCATAACTTTGGCAATAGTAAATAGATTTCAGTAACTGACCTATTTTAAAGCGTATAAATAATAATGATAATATATTTTAATAATAATAATAACAACAAAAGCACTAAGTAGAGAGCATATCTCCGCCCACTGCAAATTCCTTTCTCAAAAATAATTCCCTAAAAAATATGTTCCTACTTTCAAACCACCATCTACTTAAAAAAAAATTACACTAAACACAAAAGTTGCTTTCAGATCAGTTGATTAGTTTTTGTGATATCTGATCTGAGACATTTTGCTTTGAATAGTCCATATATTGACATCCACACCAAAATTTAATCACTCAATTTTTCAAATGCCTTTTATTGTATCAGTTGTACACCTGCCAATGCCTTACATCTTCTGGCTTTAACACACTGGAACGTCACACTCTTATACCCGACAAAAAAATACGTACCATGTATTCACCATAGTGTTCAAATGGAAATATTATGCTAATATAAATATGGGGGTTTGGTTTTTAGCGTCACATTGTATAGATGTATTAAAAATAATTCCCAATCAGTTCCGAAAAAAGTAAAGTATAAAACGCTGTGCAGCTTTACTGTAATTGCACTAATTTATTCATCATATAACTATTGTTTATGCCTATAGTAATACAGTAAATCTATTCTTTAATTGGTCCTAGAGATATTTAGGTGTGGGACCTGGCTTCCATGCACACCCGACTTTGGATCGTCACCAACAATTCAAATGTATTTTTCTTGTAACTTGATTAAACTTTCACAAAAGTTTCATTCAGATCATTTTATTAGTTTTTAAAATATCTGGTCTGGGACGTTTTCATTTGAATGGTTCTCATATCCATACACTTTTTTCATTGAAAAATGACAAATTATTGTGGAAAGGGAAATTTTGATCCATTGATTATCCTTAGAGATATTTAGGTGAGACCTTAGGACCTTTTAAATGACTCAAATTCACACCATGAATTTCGATCGTCGTCAACACTTAATAATGTCTTCCTTGTAACTTGGTTAAACTTCCACTAAACTTTCATTCATATCAGTTGATTAGTTTTTGAAATATCTTGTCTAGAACGTTGGACCTCACATCCACACCCTACTCAGGACCATCATTTCTTCATTGGGTTATACCTAATACTCCCTGTTATTTTTAATTATGTCTGTGCAGCCGTTTCTTGAGATAATTCAAACACAAACAAACACACAAAGTCAATAAAATACACCTCAGGAGCGGGTAAGCTCATTTTCAGCCATCTAGGAATTTTCCAGGGGGAGAACCCCTGCACATCTTTCTTTTTGAGATTTATCGATACTTGGAAAAAAGAATACGTATGCAACACAATTTTTTTATGTATACACTACTGATTCACACGTACAATAATCTTACCAAATGTAACCAAAAGTAACATTTTACGGCACGTGTGAAAGTACCTCCGTGTAATATCCTTGTAAAACTAATTTCCCGCCATCTAGGAGTCAAAATTTTCCATGGAAAAAAGAATACGTATGCAACTACTCAATTTTTTTATGTATGTATACACACATAACAGGCCTTTTTAATGTAATAAGAATGAGAACATTTTAATGTAATAAGAATGAGAACATTAAGCTAACCGTGGTTAGGGGTGGGGGGAACCTTGAATTTTAAAGAACTTGTCATTACGATACACCCAGCTCAAAAGTCTGGAAAGGTCATTTCCCAGCCTCTAGGAATCAAAATTTGAGGATCCTCGGACTGCCTTTTTTGGGGGTTTTGGGGAAAATTTTGACCCCCCCATCCCCTACATTTGAAGCCAGATCCCCTGATTCATATTCCCATCCATTTTACTAGTTGGGGACCCCCTCCCACTTTGAAAAGTTTCCACCAGCCCTGCATTATCAACCAACAATAGTTCTTTCCATAACTATCTTTGTTGTGTACTGCAAGCATTAATATATATAAAATGCATACTATCATTTTCATTCTACATGTAATATTTAATTAGGTTATAATTAATAGTTCATAAAATTAAAATATTTTACTAAATTTATATATTTTTCTACAATTATAATAATTAAATTAACAATTAAACATTTTGATATTGATGGGGAATTTGTATTTTCTCATCCTCAATCTAATTAATGCAATTTATTTTTTTACTATAGAAAATTTAGACATCGTACCTCTGCAACAAGTGGACCGGAACTGCTTGGCTGAATGGTGAATTTTGCTTCCTCTAGTGAATGGTGAGTGTGCTAGAAAAACTTTGTGAATTTTCTTGTCCATTTTGTGTCCATTGCAAATTGCTTTCTGGGATAAATAAATGCTAACACTGGACTTAAAAATTGTTGTATAAATTTGCGTAAATGTTTCAATTAAAAATAACTTTAAATATTTTTCCTTTCCACTGGACTTAAAATTTGTTGTATAAATTTGCGTAAATGTTTCAATTAAAAATAACTTTAAACATTTTCCCTTTCCACTGGACTTACAAATTGTTGTATAAATTTGCGTAAATGTTTCAATTAAAAATAACTTTAAACCTTTTCCCTTTCCACTGGACTTAGAAATTGTTGTATAAATTGTTGCGTAAATGTTTCAGTTAAAAATAACTTTAAATATTTTCCCTTTCCACTGGACTTATAAATTGTTGCGTAAATGTTTCAGTTAAAAATAACTTTAAATATTTTTCCCTTTCCACTTAAAAAACTTTAAACATTTTTCCCTTTCCACTGGACTTATTGTTGTATAAATTGTTGCGTAAATGTTTCAGTTAAAAATAACTTTATATTTTCCCTTTTCACTGGACTTATAAATTGTTGCGTAAATGTTTCAGTTAAAAATAACTTTAAATATTTTTCCCTTTCCACTTAAAAAACTTTAAACATTTTTCCCTTTCCACTGGACTTATTGTTGTATAAATTGTTGCGTAAATGTTTCAGTTAAAAATAACTTTGAATATTTTCCCTTTTCACTGGACTTAAAATTTTTTGTAAATGTTTCAGATAAAAATAACTTTAAATATTTTTCCCTTTCCACTCTAGCTAATTGCTCTGATTTCTTACTCTTTCAGAATGTGGCTACTGGTGATTTGGCAATTGAAGCTTTCTATTTCAAATAGTCTTTGAAATTCAGTAAATAATCATTGGAAATAATTTGAATAAATAAATATTCATTGTAATTTAGTATTATATTGGAAATAATTTGAATAAATAAATATTCATTGTATTCTATTTAGTATTGAGTATTTTTTCTTCTTGAGCATTGAAAAAGCAGGATGAGCAGGATGGGGAAAAAAAAAAAAGCGCCCTCAAATAGAAAAAGGCCCAAAATATGACTAAGTTATTTGGCCACAATAGTCTGTCCGGTTCTGGTAAAAATAGTGAAGAAAATCGCCCTAAATAGCCTTTTTAATTCAAAGTTTTTTAGGGTGTCTTAACCGTCAATAGCAGTAGCGCCCTCTAACATCCAAGTTTTTCAGAATAGCATAAAAACTGGCTGTTAGAGGGCACTACCACCTTATTAATTAAATTAATGACAAAGAAGACACCACCGAAAAACGCTGAACTAAAATGGCTATAGAGGGCGGTTTCCAGCACCACACAGGACCCCTTTAAATAATTTTAGAGAACCTGGAAATTTTGGCTTTCTATTAGAGGGCGCCCTTCAGCACCACTTTTAATAGAAATTGAGGGACATGGGAAAAATGAGCCTTTTTCTATTAGAGGGCGCTTTTTTCATCTTACCTGCATCCATCAGTTAAGCCATCAGTCTTCAAACTTGAACAGCAAAGAAACATCAAAACACTATTGATTTTTTTTTTATTATCTTTATAATCAAAATTGCGTAATGAAAATTATTAGGCATCAACAATTCATTATATGGAAAGTTAAAATGCAAGTTACAGTAGTTTTCTGGTTCTCTTAGTATTAGTTGATATCTTCTGTACAATATAATCAGTTTTTCAGAATGAAGCAATTGTTGTCTTGATGCTGCAACAACTTACCTGCATCCACCAGTCTTCAAACTTAAACAGCAAAGAAAAGTCAACACACTACTTATATTTTTTATTATCTTCATAACCAAAATTACATAATGTAAATTATTAGGCATCAACAATTCATTATATAGAAAGTTAAAATGCTCTGCTAGTAATCTTAGTAGTTTTCTGGTTCTCTGGTATGATTGTAATTAGCCAGTTTATATCTTCTGTACAATATACCAATTATGCAAGTTATATCGTCTATACGATTTAATCAGTTTTTCAGAATGAAGCAATTGTTGTCTTGATGCTGCAACAAATAATACAACCGGCAACAAATAATACAAACAACAGCTTTCACCGGGATTACGGCATCACAATATTCAGCAAGATGTTAGCAAAACTTCTGTATTGTATAGGCATGACAAATTAAATTAACTAAATTAAATTAAATTGCCTATATTAGACAAAATTAATTATAATAGGTTTCTTTTCCTTGTCTTCTTCTGCAGTAGTACTTTTCCTGTCTTGCAACTGTGTTGCTGCATCCACCAAAAATAGATTCTAAAAAAAAAAAAATTAGACACAAACACAAATTAAACAAAATTAAATGTAAGAATAAAGTTAATAATTTTAAAGCTTCAGTATATTTCACTTCATACTTACAGTATTATTAATTCTTTGATGTATCAAATGTTACTTATCATCTTGCAGAGAGTTGTCTGTCGTCTGAAAAAAAAAAAAAAAAATACAGATATTTTTTTTGTATTCTCAGTGACTTTCACAAATACTGATTTGGGAAAGTGCAAGCTCAGTGTTGTAGTGGTTAAGCACCAGGCTAGATCTGGTGTGTAAATCCCGTTTCCATGTACCAGTGAGTACTGTAATGCCATTCAATGCTGTTTTTTATGTTTTGAATGTTTTAATTCATCATACTGAATGCTCAGCAATAAAGTCATTTGGGTAGGAATTTAACAACTGAGCTTACGCTATAGTAGCTTTGTGTTAAATCTGATTTAAGCAAAAGAAATCTTGCAAGAGTCCAATTTCCAAGTAGCAGCAAGTAGGCCTACTGTGATGCTTTTCAATTGTTTTATTTTTTTCCAAACACCATCAAATATAATTCTCACAAACAGTATTGTATTGCTTCATCAATATGCACCCTTGTCAAACAGGCATGATTCCATATACTTTGACACTTTAACATTGACTGGATGCTCCTCCACCTTCCTTTACCAGGATTATCGCACTATTCAGTAAATGTTCTAACAAAACTTCAGTACACTTTTCACGACTTG